AAATTAGAGCTTGATTTGCATGAGAAAATGACTCATGGTATTATAATTATTTTACTATTTTCCCTATTTCCTTCTATTATAAGTTAGGGAGAATTATGGAAACCATAAATGGAAAACTTTGTTGCTAAAAGTTGGAGTTTTTTAAAAACAAGGTTCAATTTTTTAAATAGTAGATACTTGTGATCTGCCTTCATTTCCAATACTTTTAATCTTAAACATATCAGTGGGTCTGGTGCTAAAAAAAAAAAAAAACACAAAATTCTACAAAAAAACATTTGCTTCCTTAATTCTATTTATAGATGATACAAATAATTTTCTTTCATATCAAAACAATAAATTATTAGATAGCTATGAACCACTCAGAGAAGATGTTTATGTCATAGAGACCATCATGCAGATAAAATAATTGGTGCACAGAAAGATCTCATGACAACCAGCATCATCAGCAGATAGACAACCAACATTTACAAGCTTACATGAAACACCATGTGCAGACAGGTACCACACAGCCTTGCACTGAACATGAATACACTATAAAGACCATGCTGTAAAGGGTACACATATAGAGAAATATCAAGCCAGTGACATGTAAGAGTAAGCTTTGCACTGTGTCACAAGACCATGCTATTTTAGACTTTTGTTTAAATGTTCACCTCTGTGTCCACACCATTTGTTTTCCACACTCGAGAACGACTCAGGTTAGAAAATCGGTCTGTCAGTGATATAAGATTGATTGTGCATTGGCATACAGATAATATTTTATGCTGATAATTTAGTCATCTTACTGAGTAATAATCCTAACCGCTTTGATCCCAGAGACTTATTAGTAAAAAGAAAACTAAGTGACTCTTTAGAAATACCCTCGGTCGTGGAGTTTTGGGGGATTCAAATTTTGCCTGTGTCTGTTTCATTTTTAAGATAACCTGGTAAACAAATGACTTTTGAACTAGAGCACGGAATACACTTTTGGCATTTACTTAACAAGGTCAACAGACATCAGAGTCAAAAACACTAAAGGAATTAGATAAACCCCAAAACTTTCTTAAATATATTTCTCTGTGAATAAAAGACAGATAGTTGATTGGAAGCACTACGGTTCAACTTTTGATTAGAGGCCTGTTGGGTTTATAATGAGGAATATTTTCAACTCACTTCCCAATTCCCACACCAGACTAATCACTTTTATAAATTTATTATCCAATAAAATCAATTGAATAAATCCAACTTTCCTTTGCTATTTACCGAATGACAGGGATTAATTATTTTAACTGGCTAAAATTTCCTAACTAAACTGAAAGGGTCTTCTCTACTGTAAGTACCATGACTATGATTAATGTCTTCACAATTAGATGCCCCATTTTGAGGCCAAGAAAAATTAATCTGACCCATAATCAGAATAAAAAGTATCATCAAAAATTAATTTGAGATCACTTTTCCAAAAATAATTTGAGATCATTTTTCCACCAAATGACGTGGTTGGCCAGCATCCATATCGGTAAAGAGTATATTAATTAAACATAATCGTAGAAGTGTGCAATAAAATGTGCAAATAAAATATTCAAATCTGTACCAGATTAAGCAAAAACATTACTAATATGATTATAAATAAGAATGGGCAAATTTTGATTTACATCTGGTGTCTTACATTGGAGTTTTTCACTTCCTATTTCCCTATTTCGTGATGTACAAAGTGCATCAGGCTCATAAAATGTGTCATTTTCCCCACAAACACCCAACATCATAAGAGGATCAAAGGGGTTAGTTAAATGGATGTGCTATCAATATGTGTAACTGGTGCATATGTGTTGGTGCAAGGTGGCACCCAGGATAAAGAGCAAAGACTTAAATTATGCAATCATCATATTTTATAGGTTTCCCTCTTAACCCTCTTGAGATGGCCCTTATTTGGAGTTTGGTTGCCCACAAAACAGACCCCATTTCACAAGCCTGCATTAAGTATAAATTACATAAATATGAAGGTAAATCCATTTTAATTGTTCAACTATGTTATAATAACACCTGTTATTTCATCTCAGATAATTTTTGCTTATTTTGTTTTCAACTCTTTGTCATGAAAAAGATTTTAGCGTTGCTTACAACCACGTGATCACCCATTATTTTCTTCTCTGCGTTAGATCTTAATTTGGATAAAAGCTTCTTTAAAAATATAGTATAAAAATGAATGCAGACCTGGGTACTCAAGAAATAATGTAATATTGTATACAGTAATATGGTTGACAGGGTGAAGAAAACTGTATCATCACATGAAATATTTTGTATATTAAAAATATATGCACAGCCAGTGAATGTGATAATGTATGTTGCAATTACAATGTAAACAAATCTAAAATGAATGAAGAGAGAATGAAATAATTAACCATATAGCCTGTGTGGTCAAATATTCGGGGAGACAAATGAACATCATCATGATGTGCTACAGGGCATTTAAACACAGTTTTCAAAGATCAGGTTTTAATTTTGTGACTTTTGCTTTATATTTAAACAAATATTGCATATTAAAAAATTTTTTTTAATGAAAGCATATTTTAAAAATGTAAACAAGTCTCTTGCACTTCTGAATAAATGGAAACATGCTAAATATAATTGTAACCAATACTGGACTAAATTTTTAATGAAATTTTGAGGATTTTATTAAAGATGAAATTTTGGGTCATACTAAACAAGTAAAAATCTTTTATAATTTGTAGCAAAAATAATCACAAAAATTTTGAATGTTTCCTGCACGTCAGGAGATACCTAAAATAACAATCTTTTTATTATCCACTATATCATTGTGGTGATACAAAAGATCCATTTCCTAAATCTTAAAACTGAATGTTGTATCATCAATGAAAAGAAAACTAAAATTCTAAGATTTTAAATTGGGTTTAATTGACAAAATAATCAAAGACAGATGAACTGAAAACAATTACACACCTCCTGCAGCCCTGGGTGTTCGCCTTTTCCCGCCATCTCTCTTCACATTAAACGCTGAACCAGTCTTTAGAGCTTCCAGCAAGTTATCCATGACACCTTCTTGGTTGTCGTCTGTAGTTCAAAAACAGTTCAAATATTTGAATGTATAATAACAAAAATTGTCCCTCTCAGTAGTGGACTAAATTTACACCTAGTTATTATAAGAATGAAATTGACAGCAACAAATTGCTTGAGTTTGTTTTCAGAATTTTAACGAAAATGATATGGAAGTACTTTAAATAATATTGTTTATAGAAGCAGCAACACTACCCCTCTTTGTTTTATTCAGTACTTAGCAGCTGTTTAAAAGAATATATGTGCAGCAGTTCATTTTATTTGTTTATTATTAGTTTTTTTAAATAAATATTTTAAGGGCGGGTAACAAAAAAGGGGAGATAATATTTAAATATTTGATTCCCACCTGTCGTCATGTCTAGAATGGCAACTTGTCTCATCTTCTTCTCCTTCTTCTCCCTTTCTGTCTTCTCCTTGGCTTCTTTTGCTCTTCGTATCTTTTCCTGAGTTTCTCTTATCTTTGCATTTTCCTTCAGTGCTTTCTGAAATTAAATTTAATCATCTGTTGAACAGTCCACTCTCTAAAACAAGTAAATAGGTCAGGGTCTGGAAGGTCAGTTTTTCTGTGGGGGGGGGAACAAGTTTGTGTTTAAGTAATGAATATGGAGGAACATAATACTTTAGTATCAGATCAGATGCATGAAGAGTTGCTTAGATCTCAACTTAGACACCTATTTGGTGTGTAAATTGTCATGTTTCACTTGAAGCCTATACTGACATTCCAAGTCTTACAGAGGGTCAAAGCTTAACTCCAAGTATGGAGAACAATTATTCAAAATAAGGTCAATGTCCCCTTCTTATTTTTCTAATTACAGCATATACTTTTGAAATAAATGATAAATATCTCATGCATGTGATCTTACCTGCAAGGAATCTTTAAAAGTCTTCATGTCACCAAAGAACTCCTCCATGGTATATTTCTTTGGATCAAACGCAAAATACTTGGCAGTAGCCTCAAAAAGGGTCTCAAGTTTTTTGAACATAGTACTGAGCACATCATACTGCTGCTGGGCATCTTTTAAGAAATCGTGGCTACTAGTTAAGGATAAATACTTTATAAATTTCTGAAAGCTCCGTTAAAATTTTTTCCAAATCAGAACAAGTTATATATAAAAATCCATAAAAATAACATTTAAAATAAATTGTTGATGACGAATATGTGAAATTGTAAAATATACTTATATTTGATTACCAATATTTTTACGACTTTTTTCATCTTCTGTACACTAAACTAGACCATCAACTCGATTGCATGATAAAAAATGTCTGAAATTTCTAAACAAAATGGCCTACAGTTGGAAACAATTTAGCCACAGCCGTGTGTTTGTGTGTACAGAGACAAAATAAGACAGCCATGTTTTTGTGTGTACTGAGACAAAATAAGACAGCAGTGTGTTGGTGTATACCAAGACAAAATAAAGACAGCCACATGTTTGTGTACCGAGACAAAATAAGACAGCCGTGTGTTCATGTGTACTCAGACAAAATAAGACAGCTTTGTGTTGGTGTGTACCGAGACAAAATAAGGCAGCCGAGTGTGCGTGTGTACAGAGACAAAATAAGACAGCAGCAGACTTCCCCACTGCTCATTATGTTAGAAATGTAACCAGATAAATTAACATTCAATCCATTTTTTCTCAAGGATATTTTCATAACCTCTCCAAATTTATCATCAGGATCATTTGACTTGCCCAAGTTTTTCAAATCCAGTTCAAGGTCTTTTATCTGCTTGCCCATTGAATTGATATTTTTCTGAAGGACCTCGGTTGAAACTGTAAAAGTAGTTACAAGTACTGAATTCTTCCACAACAATAGCTTTGAAAACAAAAAGTTCAGGATTCATCTATTTACTTACAACAAAGCAGATGCTGATTTTAAAAATCTGTTTAAATGTAAGTACAACTTACCTCTAGCTGCCTTTTCTATGTGGATGGTCTCATCAATAAATCCCAGGATGTCTGGATATTTCTCTTCTAAAATTTGTGCTAAGAAATGAAGCATAGTTAAGGTGTTGTCCTGACTCTTTGTACCTTCCAACTGTTAAAAGTAAAGGAGTTTGTGATGTGCTTGATTCACAGAAACAATGTTTAAAAACAAAACGCACACACAAAACTTAGAGATACAAAAAAAATTACCAACAAAAAAAAAATGGCAATATTTTGCCGACTTACTTTAGTCAAAAAGCTTATATCAAAGCCTATAGACTGTGCATTTCTGGAACCAGAATTAAGGTAGTTTCCCATTAGAAGAAGAAGCTCCAATAATTTGGCAAACCTTCGACTGTTCTTTATTTCATCACAAGCTTCAGTAGCAGACACCAAATCCTATGGGAGTTAGTAAGTGTCAATATAATTAAACAAAAACTCTTTTAACTAACAAAAATTAAATAATTATATAAAAATATTTTGTAAAAAATGTTTTGGAACAGTGCCTTTCATTTTTTCCAACTAAGTTTAAGAAGAGAAGAAAAACATGATCAGAAAAACATTATAAAGATAATTTATTTCAACATTGTATAATGCACTAACCGGCTTGATATCTGAAACAAGTTCAGAAAATCTCATTTTGAACAGAATGGCATTAAGGCGGGGAACCAGGCGCTTGATAGTTGACATCTGAAAGTTAACAGGGCACACTGATGGGTATTTAAAACAAACTATTAACTTAAATTTAGAACAAATTTTTTTTTTTATTTATCAATTTATGTCACATGTTTTAATAGTTTAAATGAAATGTTATTTTTTCCCCACACAGACTATGTTGTTACTTATCATATAATCTCAGTTATAATTTGAACTTTCTGAAATATGATATATAACATTCATTTCAGCTGTTTACATATACATTTTTATTTACATTTAACATAAGGGAGATATTTTATAAAATTATGGTGTGTAGTCAAACTTGCTAATGAGGATAAGGATCTAAAAGAATTACAGTAACAGCAAACTGCTCTGGTTCTGCCAATGTATTGTAGTCTTCTTTTAGTTCAGAAAGTTTCTTCATCTCATCAGGTTCAGGCATGTATTTTATGAACTGCTCAATCATGGCTGAGGTGAGATTTGCTTCATCCACTTGTAAGATGCGGCGTTTAATTTCAGGATATGGAATCTTTATAGAGGCTAGCAGAATGGCTGTGGAAAAAAAAGGAAATTATAAGCATTTATTAAACAAATAGTAGTTCATTTTTTTTCTGAGAACCAAATTTGAATTGAGAAATTACAAAAGGGAAGAATTAGGCGAAATTAACTTACACAAATTTTGGCCTGATTTCATGTCAAGCACTTTGAGTTCTTTCCCCTTCTTGGCTGGCTTCTCTGCTACTTCAGAATGTTCTTTTTTGGCTGAAACCATTAAAATATTTATTCAGAAATAACTCAATAAAAAATTCATGTGACATACAAACATTGGGAAGCTGGATTTGGCTAACTAATTAAATTGAAACCTACGTGGAGCCTTTGTGGAAAACATTTCTTCCAAATTGCTGAAGATATCTGGGCTTTCAAACTGTTCTTCATGCAGGTTCACCCAGATTGAGTCCTTTTCCAGCTGCTTAGGGTTCAACTAGACATGTAAAATAAAACATATAAGTAAAGGAGTTCCCTAATTATAAATAGATATCAACCTAATTCACAAATGTATTATTGATGGCTTGGATGGTAGTGACTAATTCCCAATTTAAATGATTAAATAAAATGTCCTTCCAGTACTAAAAAACCATTGAAAAATATAAGTAGTGATTTAAAAATTATAACCAAAATTAGGGAAATGAGTTAATATAAAAAATAGTTGAAACTATTCCAAGAAAAACATCTAAAAATGGTAGACATAAATAAAAATAAAAAATTAATCTTAGTAAATGAAATACCTTATTCCAATTTAATCTCTTGGTCTGAGCTGTGGTAGTATATTTTTTCTTTGGTGCCATGCCATGGGGAAGCGCATTTGAAGGGGGAGAAAATGCACCAGGTGGTGGTGGTGGACCCATGCCGGGCGGAGCGGGGGGACCCATGCCAGGTGGAGGGGGTGGAGGAGGCGGACCCCCTCCTGGGGGTGGTGGTGGGGGCGGAGGAGGCGGTGGCCCCATTCCAGGTGGGGGAGGGGGTGGTGGGGGTGGAGGAGGTGGGGGTGGCCCTCCTCCTGGTGGTGGTGGAGGTGGGGGAGGAGCCGGCCCTCCTGCACCTTCTCCATGCCCTTTTACGAGTGCTGCGCTGATGTTTGCTCCAATACCTTGACTGATCTGTATGGAATAAATGAAACATAATTACAAATAGTGATGAAGATCCAAAGCTTTGGCTGATCTGTATTCAACTGCATTCTCATTTAAAAAAGAATAAACTCTGGACAAGAAAATGATATCTTTTTAAAGATAAGATTAAGTTAAGATTCTTCATTGACCCAAATAAATGGCAATGTGTTTTGATGACAATGGACATATTCATTTTCAGTACATCAAATTTTAAAAAATAATAATAATAACCCACAGAAAGTTAACATTCTGATAATGTCACTTTTAAACACAAAAATTTTATGGTTACATATTTTTAAGTATTGTTCCATGGCAAAAAAAAAATCAGCCATAACGAGGTAAAACAGTGAACCTCACTTCCATGACAATCTTGACTCTAAGAGTGATTAAATGATTTGATGACAGCCAGAAAAGGATGCTGGTGAATTCTGTAAGAATGGGATCTATATCTGTCAGTACTTTTTGAGAGAAAGAATTAGCCCCGATGCAGAGGCATAGCGAAGGGGGGCAGGGGGGACAGATGTCCCGGGCGCCAGCTAGATAGGGGCGCCAAAATGTGCTTTTATATTATTTTATTGATGAAAATAATGGATTTGAGAGTTGAAAAAAGAAAAGGGGGCGCTTTAAAATGAATTTCGTCCCCAGGCACGAATCTTGTCCCTGGGCGCCAAACACTCTCGCTACGCCTCTGCTGTAATGGCTGGGATATTTCCACCAAAATTTAACTCAGTTTTTCAAATATTTTTTGCATTAAATAATTGTTCAAAGCTTGGTAGGAATATTTTAGAAGCATTACTCGCATTTTTTTAAATTGGTCTATTTATTTGTTTGATGTGAGATACAATGAATTTCCACCCCAGCACATTTATACCAAGGCTCGACAGGGTTCCATCTGAAGCATTGAAGAATATTTTAATAATTGGTTTGTTAACGGAAATGTACTGTGATATTTCTTTTAAAGATTTTTAACTTTGGTGCTTCCACCTCTGGAAATTGATGATTTCCTTGGTCTTTCATGCAGTGATCTGAAGAGATTGTTCATCACACCAAAGAATAAAGCTTGTAGCTACACTGATAGGAGCCAGGATGATACAATGGTCGAGGGCCATCAAAATATAGAAGAAGAAGATATAAAAATTCCCCTTCAAATATTAAATATTACATAGCAACAAAACAATTGTGTTTTTTTTAAATTTCAGAATTCACTTATTCCCTTCCAACCTTTTCTTTCAGTTGAGTCAACTCCAGCTCATACTGTTGAACCTTGCTCTCTAAACTAGTTGCTTTGGCTTCAGATTCCTGTTTTGCGGTCAGTGCAGTGTCTAGCTTGGCAGTCATGTCTGCAATACTTATCTCTCCGGGGTCTTCAAACTTTGACCTATCTGATAGTGACACTGGGCAAAAAAAATAATTAATAATTTCTTGACTTAATGTCATGACCTTTATTTTGGTACCGGTGTTTATGTTTGAAAAGTTCATACTACCATTTTAACAAGAATGATTCATTGGTGACGTGTTTTCTTTAAAATTTTACTTGAATATCTCTGATTGTCCACAAGTAAAATAGCATAAGCTGCTAAACTTGAGATGTTAGGGTAACCCACGAACCGTCGTCGGCCTATTGTCTCTTCCTGTACTGTGTCGGCAAATAAAATTGGCTGATAAAAATTGCATTGAAAGAAGAAGTTCCCGTCCAATATTTTACACTAAATAAAACAATTCATTTTATTAATAAATGAACTTCCATTTTACGCTCTTCTGTTTCCTTTTTTTTAAACTTTTGAGTTATTTTTACAACGATCTGGATCAAGCAAATTTGTGTAAGACGATTTTCACGAAATGGATGAGGCCATAGCTTGACCAACTGGCTTACAAAATAAATCAGTTAGGAATCTTTTTGATAACTTTTTAGTTAATGAATTAAGTGATTCGGGAGATGATTTTCCGATCACACACGAAGACAATGATAATTCCAATTATTTTTTCTAGTGGGTCAGAAAGCGAAAGTTCGGACTCGGACGATTTAGACCTAGGCCTAGAACGAGTAGGCTCAGAAGGCGTTGCCCCAACAACAGGACTTGTTCAAAACTATGTAGCAGATGATTGTGTTTAAACAAATAATACTTGGATGTTGTTCTATATATGTTTTCTTATAATTCATTTTATGGATTAAATATTTATATAGCAGCTTTTTAAATTTTGTCTGTTTCTTGCTATTTAGCCATGTTTATATTGTTTATGTAATGCTTTGTTACTTGAACATAATTATAGGTATCAGTAGAATTTTTTTTTTAATCTATTAATAACTAAAACATATACAAATAATTCATTTTCTGAAAGATAAATAAAAATGTTATCATATTATATAAACATAAATATGTCTTTAAAAAATTGTAATTTGAGGTACTTGAAAAGAAAACTTTTCATTACTTTCTTTATTATTGGCCCAACCAAGGTGAGGCTCACGGTCACAGAGTATAAAATATCATTAAAAAATAGCCAATATGATTCCCCACTCAGCCTAATTTCAATGAATATATACTTTATTGTGTCTAGCTATAGTATTTGCATGTGAAAAATCAAATTTTTCAAAGGCACCCAAAACGCTTTAAAATGCCTGCACATTACATAATAACATGGACATTTCGTGGGTTAAATCAAGGACAGATAAATTATAGTAAAATAGTAGTTCATTTAACATAGTGATATGAAAAGGGAAACTAAATTATTTTTAATCTTGCTATGTTAATGATAAAAGATACCTATGACCAAAATAATTGTGAAATCTGAGACTTGAACAATTTATTATTCTTTACTATTCGTAAACTTCAGAGATTTATAAACTGTATTGTAGTGCAGCATAACATATCCAAGTGCCTTTGTATTTTAAACATTTTAGACATTCTCATTCTTTGAAAAAAATGTAAGAGATATAAGAGACATGTATTGCATTTAAGCTCTAAGAAAATTACAGCTAAATGTCATAGAGCTCAAACAAAACTAGGACCATATAATTATTTATCAACATTTGAGATTATCTACATTTCTGGTAAATGAAACTGAAGTAGTGTTAACAATCAAAAACAACAAAAATGGTGAAATGATACTAACCCAATAGAGGCTCAACATCAATGTCAAAACGTTTTGTCTGTCTGAAGTCAGGGTCACAGCCACTACGGTGAAGGACAATCTGAGTTATGCATTCTTCTATTAACTTGTAATACTGCGGCCTGTGGAAATAATAGCCTGAAAGTTGTATCCCTGTAAACAAATTTAGTCCAATCATTGTGTCTAGACTAAATTTAGCTAGCCGTCAAAGAAGAAAAGTATTCAGAAAATGTGTTTCATTAATTTATTGTGACAATTTAATATTCATTTATTCATTCAATCCTTGCACCGAAATAAAATAAAGCATATGTCTTTTATAAATAAAAAAAATCACTTCCAATTCAGTTAATAAACTTCAAAGCTTTAACTTTAATGAGTTTATCTGGTATATTTAAAGTTTCATGAATTGATCATTGATCAGCATCCCTGAAATTCGCAATGTAATTCTCATTCCACACCTATGACTCATGCAAAATTTAAAAATTAACACACAATGTGGGATGTAGCACAGCAAAAAAAGTTTTTTTTAATGTCTTAAGTCTAAACTAACTTTTTCAAACTATCATCCCTAAACACCTACCGGGCAAAAATATCATCTCGTATTAATAACAGGTGTTGTAATATGGACAGGAAATAAGGTTCTGCAACAGTGTTACCAACAGAACGGAGAAGTAGCTGAAAGCAAGCTGTAGGGTCTGTGAGGCATGTTAAGGAATTACTTTTAAAAAAATACAATTTGTTTTTATTTTATCATATGATTCTCAAAGCGCAATTGAAATAGTATCTTGGTTCATGTTTTTCAACATATACATTTCTTCAGATATTTCATTTATATCGTATTTATGTATTTTAAAACAAATAGATTTTTGTTTTGAGATTCAATTTTTAAAATTATAAATTATATTTAACTGAAGTTTGATCTTTTTTTTTTTTTTATTGGACTTTCAGTGAAGCAAAACTCAGAAATGTTAGCATTGTTTTCATTATTTACATTTTTATTTTTTTACAAACGTAAATGAAGCCCACGTTTTCTTATTAAGCAAATTCTTTTTTTTTTTTTTTTTTTTTTTTTTTTTTTTTTTTTTTTTTTTTTTTATTTTAATTTTTTTTTTTTTTTTTTTTTTTTTTTTTTTTTTCTTTTTTTTTTTTTTTTTTTTTTTTTTTTTTTTTTTTTTTTTTTTTTTTTTTTTTTTTTTTTTTGTTTTTTAGAAATAAAAATTATGATCATTCTTTTATTCCCAAATGATGTAAATTTTACAATGATCAAATGTGATGGCTTTTTTTCCACTAATTGCGCTAAGTAAATAAAGTAAAATTGTAGAATTCTTTTCTGAAATTGTTTAAAAGGATATTCAATCTCCATGCTTATGTTGTCATAGCGATGAGAAAACTCTTCTTGATCTTCCTCTTTGTGCTCATGGAAAATCTTAACATGGGTCTTCAGCTCCTCATCCTCTTGATTATCTAACCACTAGTGAACATTTATTTTGAAGAACATTAAATGAAATTCTTTAACTATTGAGGTTATACATTTCATTTCAAAGAAAAGACTCAAAATTAAATTGTCCTAATTAATATTATAATTTTAGGTTTTAACTCATGTATTGGTCTTTTTTTTTTTTTTTTTTTTTGCCTTTAAATTCTGCATGCTTTATGTAGCAGTAAATAGTTTTAGAACTTGCAAAGAATTTTGAAAACTATGGAATTAATTTGGCAATTAACTTACTTCTAAAAGATCTATGAGCCCTGTCCTCATGAACTCATTTCTTAAGTGCATCCTGAAATCAATATCATCAGGTGTGAAGACAATGGCATTGACTACCTGGATACAGGCAACCTGGGTGGAATATAATAAATATTATTGTCAGATGACAAAATTTACAATAGTCATAGTCATAAAATCAATCAAATATACTCTTTCCGGAATACAAGAAATTAAGAACTAATTTGAATCAAAAGTTCAACTGATAAACATTTTTTTTTTCATGAATATGAAACATTAAAAAAGCCAGATGATAAAATTAGGTTAAAAAAATAAATAAATAAAATACCGGTATGTTGCATTAGAATTTTAGAATTTTCTGATTCTCAATGTCAAAAACTTTTTTAAGAAAAAGAAAAATATCAAAGTTTTGTAATAAATATGTAACAAAAAAAGAAACATAGCATCAACTTAGCATGAAACAATTCTATAAAATATCAAATTAATTTTTATGATTCATTGATATCATAAAAATCCAGTGGGAAACATTTGCTGATAATGAAAAATTAAAACAAACCTGCATTGCAGGATTATCCCTCATTGCAAGGCCACTGATGATGGGAACAAATCTCTCCTGACTTCGTATTTCACCACACACTGTTAAGCCTTCCAACACTTTTTCATGTCTGATGAGTAATTGCCAATAATGATGATGATTTCTAAACAGTACATTTAAGCAGTTGTAACGTGTTGGGGTAAATAAGGGTTGGTGGGTGTTACAACAAAATTTTGATCACAAAGTCATCATTCACCATTTCAGGGTAAGACTTACCCAATTTTAACTTATTTCGTTATTGTTCTTTAAAGATATTTACAGCCTGAGGCTCTCTAAACTTGCATTGCTTTTGAGGGCTTCAATGACTTACTTTCCATTTGAAGCAAGTAATGCCTCTAAAATGTATTTTTCTATTCAGAAAAATATTTGTGCAACAGCCAAAATATACATATTCTTGGAAATATTAAAGTTTAAAAAATAGTTAAGCCAAAATATACATATTCTTGGAAATATTAAGTTTAAAAAATAGTAAGGACTCATTTGATTATGAAAGATATTTTAAAAAATTGCTATAATTAGTAAAATATTAATAAAAGACTAATTTTGTTATACCTACCACAATTACATGCAACATAAAAACATAAGGATCTATTTGTACTTTGGCAATAGTAAACACCAAATTGACAGTTTCAGACCTGTAAAAATAATGGTATAAGCTATAAAACTATTCAATACCCATTGGGTGGTACAAGGCACATGGCAGCCAGCAGACGAACAGCTTCAAGCATTGTGGGTGGATCCGACGGGTCCACAGTCCTAGACATAATTGTAAGTGCCTCTTCATGGTCCAAAATACTCATGAGTCCAAACTGAAATGACAAAATCCACAAAGGTCTAAAGTGGACATGCAAGGCAACATGCGAGGTATTTTATTACTAAGCAATTCAGACAAGGGATAAATAATGTATTGTTCAATTCAATAAATTGTGGAAAATTGGCAAATATTTAAATTTTGTCATGCTGGACTGTTTTAGGCTTAATTCGTTTAATACACTGAAATGATAGGAGTTATTTTTCTAAATAGCCTGTAGGTAGTTACTGGCAGGAAAGATCAGCCTGCATATTATAGCCATATGGATTGAGGAAAACTATAATTTTTTTTTACACAGACTAAGAAAACCGCGGACAAGTAGATAAAATTAGGAAAATTTTGATATGGTATACCAACCTAAAATAATCTTCATCAATCATGCATGTCATCATTCTATTATTGAAACGAAGTTAACATTTTACAAGGGTAGGTTGTTAATATTTAAAATGTCTCATTTTCCTACTCATGAAAAAGCTACTGTTTTTGTGTTCTACTGCATGGTGACAACAATAAGTGATGCAACAACTAAGGTCAACAACTTTTAAATCAACACTCAGGTCAATGCTACTATTCTTGGATGTTTGTTCATGTTCATGCACCAGTGCAAATTCTGGTTTTATCGTAATCACATGTACATAGACTTAACTATTTTTAGCCATTAATGATGCTCAAAGGCAATGGATTTGTTAAATCTTTAAAACGGATTGGCTGGACCACATTTAATTACATTTCAAATTGGACTGATATTAATTTTTTTTTTAAATTCATGTCAACCTCCTGCAAAAATTATGGTGGCATTCAAAAAACTCAATGAATAATTCTTGAGGCACAGATGGGAGACTCCTGATTACAACCAGTTGTTTCAGAGTTGATATTATTTAAAAACGATAAGCATTAAATGGTTGTTAAAACACTTTAAGACACCAGTGACAAAATAAGGGTTTAAAAAAAAGGCTGGGTAATCAAGAGTGACATTTTACTCACTTTGTTGTTCATGAATGCTTTCAGACATCTTACACATTCGTATGTACTTCTCCGTTCTGATGTGCTATTTCGAAAAAAATGTAGGGAGAAAGTCATACATTAAATAGTTGGAAATAAACTGTAGCAAGCTACAAGAAGCAATTCGTTATATTAAATTAGCATCTTCAAATGAAACAAGCACACAATCTAGGAATGTTACTGGAAGGCTGTAAAAGATATATTTCAATGCCTGTCCACAGTCCTGGCTTTACGAGGGCAATATTGCTATTTCAATGCCTGTCCACAGTCCTGGCTTTACGAGGGCAATATTGCTATTTCAATGCCTGTCCACAGTCCTGGCTTTATGAGGGCAATATTGCTGCAATTATTAATCAAGCTTAAAAACTTTATTCAATCCTTTAAGATTATATATAAGCCAGACATTTAAAGGGCTATTTTTATAAATATAATTTTCTAAATGTCTTTCTTGAAAAACCTGCAGTAGAAAAAGTTTTAAAAAACAACCCTTCAGCGTGTTGCTTTAAAAGATAAAGTAATGTATTGATGAAAGTATCCCAGTCCATGCTTACTTATCACAGCAGTAGGTGAGATTCCTCAGGATGGCATTCAAGCCCCTCTCACCAAACTCTTTGACCCAACTTAAAAATAAAAGAAACAAAATAAATATATAAATGAAGTTGTTTAGGATTTGATGAAAAAGAATAATTCAATTTACAAATTAAGTCAATTTAAATGTAAAACCTTATTGGTGTGGAATTCTTTGAAAGGCCTAAGGTTGCTGAGAGGTAATCTAAAATATAAGGATATCTAGACTTTAGTTAAGTACACAATTTCGGGAGGGGTGGGGGATGGTTTACACTCTGTCCACTCCCTGCTACTCTTTCTTTTAAATTGCAGTGTTTGTTAAGCAAAGATGAATGTAAAGAGTTTGAATTTTTTCAGAATATTTTCAAGGAAACAATGTAGTAAGCAATTTGCACCATCTCCTATTTCAGTTATTTTCTAAATATTTATTACAAACTTGAATAGTCTACTAGAATGTTTTTACCTGACGGGTTTACTGGTCAGTGACACCCTGAGAGCCTCCAAAACCTGTAATCTTTTACCTCCTTTAAGGTCAGGGTCCATCAAACTAATGATAAATGCTTGAGGAGTATCGAGCTCTCCACCTTTAGACTACATAAATATAAAGACAAGAAAAATGAACATGATTAAGGATTTATCAAATATTAATTTAAAGCAGGGGTCTCAAACTCGCAGCCCGCAGGCCATTTGCGGCACGCAAGATGATATTTTGCGGCCCGCGCATTTTCCCCATTCTCATAACTATAATGTAACCCTCCGCGACGGTTTCTGTCGAATCTCCCCAACTAGTCTAATTTTGATTTTTATTATGTTTGCATATATTTGCATATATTTGGACGTTGATTATAATGGTAAAAACTGTTTTAATATAGGACTAAATTTTTTTTATTTTATAGCATTTTATTAGACAAACATGACCAAAACATGGTTTTGAGAAAAGTTTAAAAGTTATTTTGTGGGTAATGCACAACCAAATTGTCTAAATCACAGCAATCGGTCACAGTATCAAAGAATCCTTATTAAAATTGCCACTAGTGTTAACGAGTGAGGGTAAGTCCGAGACTGTCGGCTTGGTCACTTTCAAAATAGCGTTATTCAAAAAGGCCTTTTCTGCACTAAAAAAATCAAAATTTATTCTCCCTACGACAGCATCTTCCTTCACATCAATAATTCATAAATATTGCCTGCTCATGCCTACTGTTTGAACACATTTTAGCATTTTAAGCCTTCAAGGAGAAAGATGGGGTGGCTATTCCTGTACAAAGTGATCCCAAATGGCTCATGGACTTGGCTTTTCTTGTTGACAATACACAGGAGCTGAATGTACTCAACAAGAAATAACAAGTCCTGGGGTAGATTGTCAGTTTTGCCTATAACAAATCAGGGCATTCTGCACAAAACTTGTGTTATGGTTCTTAGAGAAACCTCTGCCATTTCCCAACATGCAGAGTACTTAAGGACTCGGGCACACCATTCAGTAGTAACTGAGTAGTAAGTATATTGATGCCATTGCAAAGCTACAGGAAGGATTTGCTTACATGTTTTCAGACTTTAAAACACACAGAACCACTTTTCAACTTTTTGCTGACCCTTTCTCCTTTAATGTGGAAGATCCCACCCTCCCAACCCAACCTCATTCTCCATCTTCCCTGAGATTTCCAGGTTGTTCAAGCGGATCATGTGCCTTTTTTGGGAGTATTTATCTCTGTGAAAAGCTCTTTTCAACTTTGAACTTTAACAAGTCACAGTTCAGGGCCAAACTTACTGATGAGCATCTTCAAGCTAAACTGAGGGTCTCAGTTGCTTCCTCACTCAAGCCAAATGTTGCTCAGCTGTGTAAGAAGAAGCGCTGACAGGACTCCACAAGGAGTAGGTGGAAGAAAGTGAAGCCAGGTTCTTGAGAACCCTTAATGTTTTATTTGTTATTAATAAAGGTGGAGCAGATTGTAACAGTTGTACTTCAATGAATTTGTATTCACTGTTTTGTGGAATACTTGGTACGGCCCAGTCTCACTCAAACTTAACTGAGATTGACTGGCCTAAAATTAACTGACCTTGACTGGTCTAATGTTAACTGGCCTAAACTTAACTGACATTCACGGGTCTAAATTTAACTGACGTTGACTGACCTAATTTTAACTGACCTTGACTAGCCTAAACTTAACTGACCTCGACAGATTTAATGTTAAATGGTTGATTTTGTTGGTTTGTTGTTGTTTTTTTGTAGTTGTTTAATTGGTGTGCAGAACTGGAGGTGGGCTGAAGCCCCGTGTGTCGGTTGTTTAATTGGTGTGCAGAACTGGAGGTGGGCTGAAGCCCCGTGTGTCGGTTGTTTAATTGGTGTGCAGAACTGAAGGTGGGCTGAAGCCCCATGTGTCGGTTGTTTAATTGGTGTGCAGAACTGGAGGTGGGCTGAAGCCCCGTGTGTCGGTTGTTTAATTGGTGTGCAGACCTGGAGGTGGGCTGACGCCCCGTGTGTCGGTAAGTTCACTGTGGAGCCCCAAAGATAAAAGGGGAGATTAAACCATCAAACCCTTTATGAGAGAACGTCCTTACCGTTGTTGTGGTGGTGGGTGGTAATGTGACGGGTGGTGATGTGACGAGTGGTGATGTGATGGCTGGCGATGTGATGGGTGGTGATGTGATGGGTGGTGATGTGATGGGTGGTGATGTGATGGGTGGTGACGTGACGGCTGGTGATGTGATGGGTGGTGGCGTGACGGCTGGTGATGTGACGGGTGGTGATGTGATGGTTGGTGATGTGACGGGTGGTGATGTGACGGGTGGTGATGTGATGGCTGGTGATGTGACGGGTGGTGATGTGATGGCTGGTGATGTGATGGGTGGTGATGTGATGGGTGGTGATGTGAGGGGTGGTGACGTGACGGCTGGTGATGTGATGGGTGGTGGCGTGACGGCTGGTGATGTGACGGGTGGTGATGTGATGGTCGGTGATGTGACGGGTGGTGATGTGACGGGTGGTGATGTGATGGCTGGAGATGTGACGGGTGGTGATGTGATGACTGGTGATGTGATGGGTGGTCATGTGATGGGTGGTGATGTGATGGCTGGTGATGTGATGGGTGGTGTGGCGATGGTTGCAGATAACACCATTAAACAGCCAAAATCAACACACACCACAATTAGCAGTGTTGTTTTTTGCTTTTTTTATATTTATAACTGATGTCAACCCGACTGCTTCCTTGTATAACTACGTGACGTTTGAATGTGGGGGTGTTACAAATTCCAGGGGGAGGCGAGGCGTTAAGAACCCCGGCATTTAAATGTGCTAATATTGGTACACATTAATGTTGTCACCGGGAGCCCACGCGACACCACCAGAAAAAAGCCCCCCCCCCCAAACACTTTTTCATTTCATATCTCCAACCATTTCTCTCTATATATGATTTCCATCGCATGTTAAAAAAATGAACACGAGCATAAATTAATTACCAACATTCGCTGAGCTAGACCCCACCCCCCCCACCCCCCCCCCCCCCCCCCCCCCCCNGTCAAAAACGGATCGCCCTTCACCTTCCCGATGGGCGTTCCTGTTCGTAACACCTGGCTGTGTGATTACCTCCCGCAGGTTTGTTGTGTTTTACGACCCCGTCAAGAAACGAAAGGGCCGCTTGCATACTCCATGTCACACTGCCCCCCCCCCCCCATGTGACCAAAGATGAGCCACCAGCTTCCTACTATAAGGACAATAACACTGTCCCTAACAATGTGATCAAACCTAAGCCACCATCTTCCTACTACGAGGACAATACACTAATCACAGGCAATGCGACTTAAAAGCTAAAATACTTTGAGGATTTTGTCCACTGCTCTGTTTACGAATGTGTGAAACATCTCGGTAGCGCAGCAGTTTCCGAGCAGGGGGTGGCCACTAGCGGATCTTACTCGTGTAAAAAAAAAACACGAAAGCGCTCTCTATCTTTATAAAACAAAATGCTTAAGGTTATAGTCATGATATCAGAGAGGTGACAAGAATTTTGGGATGAGATTTTTTTAAACAATGAACGCGTCAGACAGGGGCTGCCAGTAACGGGGGATCACATGGTGGGGGCTTCCAGTAGGGCAGGCCTGCACAACTCAAAATGTAAGGCGGGCCGTAATCCTTTATGAAAAACTTGTGCGGGCCGAAAGATAATAGGACAGGGGCGAAAGCTATTAATTAAGGAAATAATAAAGAGTATTTCGTTACTTCGCGGGCAGCCAAGTGGGTGCTGGGGGCCGCATGTGGCTCGCGGGCCGTATGGTGTAGGGGATCTCAGGTAGTGAGGGATGGCAGCTTTGCTATTGCGGGGATGATAGCAGGGGATCTTAGGGAAGGGGGTCATATTTTCATTTGCTGCTTGTTAAACGCCTGGGCTGGGGGATGGGGTTGCACTGAGTCAAGCTAGCACCACCCAAATGTTGATCTACCACTTGATTCAATATGGACTTGTAATGACCGGCCGAAATATCAAACAATTATTTGTAGCACTATTAAAACGGTTTGTGAAACACAGCCAGGGCGCTTAATACAATAAATTTTATTGATTTTGTACAACGCAAGAGTCAGCACATAACTTAACCACAATCGTCTCAGTCTGACACATTTGGAGCTTATAAGGCCGAACGGTGTTCCTTGAATATCTTTGGCACCGATTCCTGGAGACATACCATTATCTCAATTCACTCTCAAATAATTGGTACTGTGGGTGCACTGCGACAGCCAGGTAGTTGAAACGGTGTTACTGTGGGTGCACTGCGACAGCCAGACAGTTGAAACAGTGTTACTGTGGGTGCACTGCGACAGCCAGACAGTTGAAACAGTGTTACTGTGGGTGCACTGCGACAGCCAGGCAGTTGAAACAGTGTTACTGTGGGTGCACTGCGACAGCCAGACAGTTGAAACATAAGTAGTTCAAACAACTTCCGTATAGCAACTTTCTGATCAAATCTGATGGACTCTTAAGACACTTACATTACACACTGAATGTCCACATACAAGTAAAATGACATTACATACTGAACGTTTAAGTCAACATACAAGTGCAATGACATTACATAGTGAACGTTTAAGTCCACATACAATTAATGAGCCATTTAATAAAGACACCATATGTACAACCCCAAGGGGCGTCATGGTATGAAAATAACGTGGCAGACACACACACACACACACACAGACAACACACGGGTGGGGGTATATTAAAAAAGATTTGTTCCATGTGAAAGTGACAATCTCTTCTATATCCTTAAATAGTAGCGTCAAAACTAACAAAAGAAAACTAACAACTATTTTTGGTACGTCCGTCCCACCCCCTTTCCCCCAAACTTAATTATCCGCCACTGCCCACCCTACACAAGTACACGGTTTGAAAAAAACTGCTTTGAGCAAGGGCAATTAAAGTAAGACAGGCAATATTACCGTCGGGACTTGTCGGTAGTGTGTAGCAAGCCTCAAGGAAACTGAATGTTGGTGTCAGCCTGGCGTTGTTACTAGATTGGGAAGTGAAATACTCCACAACAAATCGTGTGTTGACATCAGAACACCACCAGGCTTTTACAGTAGACTAGTTTGATACTTCACTAAGGTGCTGAGATATAGAGACCAGGCGCTGAGATATAGAGACTAGGTGCTAAGATATAGAGACAAGGTGCTGAGATATAGAGAACAAGGTGCTGGGGTATAGAGACCAGGCGCTGAGATATAGAGACTAGGTGTTGAGATATAGAGACTAGGTGTTGAGATATAGAGACAATGTGTTGATATTTAGTCTAGGAGCTGGCAAAATGGGTTTTTCGAAAAAGTTATTAACTGTAAAAAGTTATTTCAATAGAAGATAAGAAGATAGGTTAATTTGTTACAGAAGGCGGGCTAGCATGCAAAAGGTGGTTTGTATACATCTAAAAATAGCTCCTGGCCGACACCGCATGTAAGCTCATTCAAACAAAGCCCTACATTTAGTCATGTAACAAAGAGTGAACGTGTGCCCTCTACCAGATAAGATGAGGAAGACGAGTTAGTGGAGAGAGAGGCTGTAGACACATGTAACATAGAATGCACAGAGGGCTTAAGGTGCTTGTTGTATTAACTGTATGTCTCACGTAGTGTACTACAGTAATCCTACCAGTGGTCAAATACAAGGGATTATATTTTAATCCATATGTTTGAAATAAACATTTGACCTCACTTCTTTGGCGGGCACAGAGGTGGGGGGAGGGGGGAAAGAGGGGGGGGGGTTCGACCAGGCACATCTCCTGGGACCTATAGATAAGTGTTAAAGGCATACTATCAAGGATTTGGCCCAAACATCAGCAAACTTCTGCACTCCACTGCATCACCTTAGCATAAGGCCTCATATGCCTTATATGTGAGGCCCTGGGTTATGAGCTGATGAGCTCACAATGACCGGGACAGATGTAGACAACCGTTCCATCAAGTCACGCCATTGGCCTCGGTAAGCTGACGCTAAAAGATTTGCCTCCATCCACATGTTTCAACTCAGCCCTTCTTATATTCAACGTTGAAAGTGCTCAGTTAACCCTTTGATATCAAGACGAGCCAAGATATCAATTAAAATGACGTAAGGTGCTGTTTGCTCTTTTGATTGTTGGTTCATGCTCTCCCAAGGTAACATCTCGTGGATCTAATCTTTTCCTAGTTGTAATTGCCCTGTCTTTTATTTTTCAAGCCTAAACATATCTTCATCCACTATTGATTCGTTGCGTAGTCTAAAAAGAAAGCTTGGAAAATTAAACGCGTGGCAGTGACTTGAAAACCACTTTTGATCTAGAACTTCGTCCCTCTTCATTGTTCTGGATTTCCCTCCCCTGTTCCTAAAGAACATTCCACTATCATCAGCTCGCGCACACCCCCACAAGTCATAAGTTCAAGGCTGGCATAGTTACTGTCCGTGTGGCAAGATTGTGAAGTACAAGACAATGAGAAGCCACATCTTTACGAGTACCAGACGTGATAAGAATTGGGGGTGCATGTATTCTAGTCTTCCGTCGGCTGGCCATCTTTTCATGGGTGGCTGCTTGTTAGCAAAGATGGCCGCCCAGGAAGAAAGGGACAGGGAGGGAAAGAAAGGGCAGAGGTGGATAGAAAGGGCAGAGGTGTAAACAAAGGGCAGAGGTGGATTCAAAGGGCAGAGGTGGATTCAAAGGGCAGAGGTGGATTCAAAGGGCAGAGGTGGATTCAAAGGGCAGAGGTGGATAGAAAGAGAAAGAAATTGGAAAGAAATAAAAGAGATGGAAGAAAAAGGATAGAGATAGAAAGGAAGGAACAGAGATTGAAAGAAAGTGATAGAAATGGAAAGAATGGAACTAAGCTTAAAAGAAAGGAATAGAGACGGAAAAGAAGGAATACAAATGGAAAGAAAAGAAATAAGCTTGAAAGAAAGGAATAGAGATGGAAAGAAAGGAATAGAGATGGAAAGAACTAAGCTTGAAAGAAAGGAACAGAGATGGGGGAAAGAAAGGAATAGAGATGGAAAGAAAGGAATAGAGATGGAAAGAAAGGAACAGAGGTGGGGGAAAGAAAGGAATAGAGATGGAAAGAAAGGAACAGAGGTGGGGGAAAGAAAGGAATAGAGATGGAAAGAAATGAATAGAGATGGAAAGAACTAAGCTTGAAAGAAAGGAACAGAGATGGAAAGAAATTAACAAAGATGACAAGAAATGGATAAAGATGGAAAGAAAGGGATGGAGATAATATACAGATTGAAAAAAATTGGAGAGATGAGAAAGCAAACGAAGGGAAGAACGAGAAGGAAAGCATGGGACAGCTGATGGAATGGATAAAAACGTGGGCGATTGGTTAGATGGGCGAGGTTGTTGTTTTTTTTTTTATACATGCTGCTTACAGCCGGGGAACACAAGAACTGGGGAACACGGGAACTGGGTGCTGCTGAACGTATGTCTGTGAATCATGAAGTCAACGCTGGGCGTGGTAAGCACGTGGTAGCCGCCAGTGCGACCCACTTAGCAGTGGAGAAGAAGAAGATGTGATCAAATGATGCCAATATAATACGCTGTAGATATATTCAGTTACAGGACGACGTGTTGTGTTATTGTCCCATTCAACTGTACACAATTCACAGCACAACATACATGAGATGTAAGTGAACAAAAGGCGATCTAATCTGGTGGCTCTACTATCAGTAGAACGTGATACGGTGAAGGATATTGATTTTGATCAAGTGATTGACAGGTTTGCAGCTTTGAAGACCATGAAAGGAAAATTTTTAATAAAGTAAATGTAATGTAAAAATAACTATAACTTAACGTTGTTACAATTTTTAATTTACCTCCTGACCTTTAATTAATTTGTTTTTGCTCTTGTCATTGTTATACTGTGGACTTATTTTAACAAGAAGAAATCAGTCGTGGAAGTCCGGGGAAGGGGGTGACACCATGAGTTTACCGCACAGGGTGACACCAACCTTAGCTACGCCACTGAGTCCAGGGTTTCAACAGTACTTTATAGCACAGGGTTTCAACAGTACTCTAGTACATGGTCTCAACATTACTCTAGTACAGGGTTTCTTAACTTTATAAGCCATGGACTCCTTTACGAGGCAGATTCCGTCGGATGCAGGTCACGGTCCCTTGTTAGAATGAAGCATTGGAATACATTGAATACAACTACAGAGAAAATTCAACTCACGGAGCCCCATACGTAGTGAGTATGGCATTAACCCTAGCTACGCCCCTGAGTGAGTATATGGCATTAACCCTAGCTACGCCACTGAGTGAGTATATGGCATTAACCCTAGCTACGCCACTGAGTGAGTATATGGCATTAACCCTAGCTACGCCACTGAGTGAGTATATGGCATTAACCCTAGCTACGCCACTGAGTGAGTATATGGCATTAACCCTAGCTACGCCACTGAGTGAGTATATGGCATTAACCCTAGCTACGCCACTGAGTGAGTATATGGCATTAACCCTAGCTACGCCACTGAGTGAGAATATGGCATTAACCCTAGCTACGCCACTGAGTGAATATATGGCATTAACCCTAGCCACGCCACTGAGTGAGTATATGGCATTAACCCTAGCCACGCCACTGAGTGAGTATATGGCATTAACCCTAGCTACGCCACTGAGTGAGTAAATGGCATTAACCCTAGCTACGCCACTGAGTGAGTATATGGCATTAACCCTAGCTACGCCACTGAGTGAGTATATGGCATTAACCCTAGCCACGCCACTGAGTGAGTATATGGCATTAACCCTAGCTACGCCACTGAGTGAGTATATGGCATTAACCCTAGCTACGCCACTGAGTGAGTATATGGCATTAACCCTAGCTACGCCACTGAGTGAGTATATGGCATTAACCCTAGCTACGCCCCTGAGTGAGTATATGGCATTAACCCTAGCTACGCCACTGAGTGAGTATATGGCATTAACCCTAGCTACGCCACTGAGTGAGTATATGGCATTAACCATAGTTACGCCACTTAGTGAGTATATGGCATTAACCCTAGCTACGCCACTGAGTGAGTATATGGCATTAACCCTAGCTACGCCACTGAGTGAATATATGGCATTAACCATAGCCACGCCACTGAGTGAGTATATGGCATTAACCCTAGCCACGCCACTGAGAGAGTATATGGCATTAACCCTAGCTACGCCACTGAGTGAGTATATGGCATTAACCCTAGCCACGCCACTGAGTGAGTATATGGCATTAACCCTAGCCACGCCACTGAGTGAGTATATGGCATTAACCCTAAGAGCTGCTGTTATTGTAATGATGATATGGTCTAAACCCGTCCCCAGCATTTCCCGGCACTAGTCAACTAGTTGATTAACCGGTCGACCAATACAAAATGATTAATTACTATTCGGGACTCAAGGCTCTATGACTCACACACACACAATACTTCCATCAAACGTTAAAAGATACAAAGTTATAGAGACTCTGTGCTCAGACGTGTCAAAGATTCGCCACAAGATGTTGTAGCTTTAAGTTTAGTTTATGAACTACTTCCTGTCAAGTTATTGGAGAGTTAAGTTTTCATTGCCCCCCTACAACCCCATCCGTAATTATTTATAAAAAATTAATTTCCTTGTTATTTTTTTTGTATTCCCGAGGAAGGCATTTATCCCAAAATACTTCGTGTTGTTTGCCTTGTTCTGTAATCCCAGCAGCAACATATCCTGTTTTGATTATTTCTATAAAACATGCAAACCATTTGTAAATGGCTCACATGAGTGTCTAGTTTCACCATCATGGAGATGTCCCCGTCCCCCCCCCCCTCATCCACACGCCAAATGATATTTAAAGAAAGGGTAGCTCCTAGCCTAATTGTGGCAGGAAAACTCAGAAATTTAAAAAAAAAAAGATGAAATAATAATGACAACTCTAATTTTATTTGACTCTAAGACGACGGACGCCGGGTTCAACTTCTAGAGAGTTTCAATACACAGAGAATGACTTGGTAAAGCGGGTGTTTCAACAGTCTAGTACAAGACCTAGTGATATGACTCAACAGTCTAGTACAAGACCTAGTGATATGACTCAACAGTCTAGTACAAGACCTAGTGATATGACTCAATAGTCTAGTACAAGACCTAGTGATATGACTCAACAGTCTAGTACAAGACCTAGTGATATGACTCAACAGTTTAGTACAAGACCTAGTGATATGACTCAACAGTCTAGTACAAGACCTAGTGATATGACTCAACAGTCTAGTACAAGACCTAGTGATATGACTCAACAGTCTAGTACAAGACCTAGTGATATGACTCAACAGTTTAGTACAAGACCTAGTGATATGACTCAACAGTTTAGTACAAGACCTAGTGATATGACTCAACAGTCTAGTACAAGACCTAGTGATATGACTCAACAGTCTAGTACAAGGCCTAGTGATATGACTCAACAGCCTAGTACAGAAATCGGTTTCCACTCCGAAAAACATAGTTCTTGACAGGTTCTTGAAAAGAAATTTGGCTGTCAAAACTTTTTAAATCGTCCTGCTGCTGATTTTTTTGGCTCTTTCGACTAATGAGTTTGGCGACCACTGACCTAGTGTAAGACATAGTGATATGATTCAAGTCTAGAACAAGACCTAGTTATATGACTCAGTAGTCTACGTATAATGTGCTGTAATCTTGTAGGTAAGACTTAAAAATAACTTAACTCTGACATACTGACTTAGTAGCCAATTATCGGGAATAACCTATTATGCGAGATATTCCTGGAAAAACAACCTGTTACAGCGGCAGCTATGCCTCAGGTTAGGCAATGGTTTAATGGAAAATTGCGTGAAGGCGAAACATGGTTTTCATTCTAATTGCAAATGTATTTGCACCCCCCAGCCCCCGCCCCAACCTTAAATAAAGGCACTTGAAAGGCGTACTATTTATATCGCATTAAACAACATAGTATTTAAATCACTCACTGCAGCCAGAGTAGAGAAAAACTTAATAATGGAAAACGATAAATGTGATAAATGTGTAAACACATGACAGAAACAAAGAAAAGTCTATTGAAACATCTCTTGTCTGTTGACACTGTCAGTGAATGCTATTGAAACATCTCTTGTCTGTTGACACTGTCAGTGAATGCTATCTGCGGTGGTTGATATGCGTCCTTAGTAAAAATCGTAGTCAATTTTCATTGTGAACATATAGAAGACCAATTTACAGTTGTAAACATTACCCCCATGGCCCAGCTGTTAATTAAAACTTATGCTGATGAAGATCCCGTAACTCGTTGCCTCAAAGAACACAGTGCCGTCCTCCCACAAACCTTTGCCCACAGTGCCGTCCTCCAACAAACTTTCGCCCACAGTGCCGTCCTCCCACAAACCTTTGCCCACAGTGCTGTCCTCCCACAAACCTTTGCCCACATTGCCGTCCTCCCAAAAACCTTCGCCCACAGTGCCGTCCTCCCATAAACTTTCGCCCACAGTGCCGCCCTCCCACAAACCTTTGCCCACAGTGCCGTCCTCCCACAAACCTTTGCCCAGATTGCCGTCCTCCCACAAACCTTTTCCCACAGTGCCGTCCACCCACAAACCTTTGCACACAGTGCCGTCCTCCCACAAACCTTTGCCCACAGTGCCGTCCTCCCACAAACCTTTTCCCACAGTGCCGTCCTCCCACAAACCTTTGCACACAGTGCCGTCCTCCCACAAACCTTTGCCCACAGTGCTGTCCTCCCACAAACCTCCGCCCACATTGCCGTCCTCCCACAAACCTTTGCCCACATTGCCATCCTCCCAGAAACCTTCACCCACAGTGCCGTCCTCCCACAAACCTTTTCCCACAGTGCAGTCCTCCCACAAAACTCCGCCCACATTGCCGTCCTCCCACAAACCTTCGCCCACATTGCCGTCCTCCCAAAAACCTTCGCCCACAGTGCCGTCCTCCCACAAACCTTCGCCCACAGTGCCGTCCTCCCAAAAACCTCCGCCCACATTGCCGTCCTCCCAAAAACCTCCGCCCACATTGCCGTCCTCCCACAAACCTTCGCCCACAGTGCCGTCCTCCCACAAACCTTCGCCCATCTCTTTACAAAAAGTTGTTATGAACAAGATTTTAATTTCCCGTATAATTTAGTAGAGGAGCATCGATGGGTGTAACGTTTCCATGTTTATCAATGGACACTGGTGGCAACTACAAGATGGTGACTAGGTTAGAAAATGAAATGACTTAAGAACTATGCCCATCTGTAATGTTTTATTATCCCAACAGCTGAACCGGAAAAGGTACCAAGTACATTAATAGAGGCAGTGAAGAGAGAAGGGTTTATCCCTGGGATAAACCGTGAACTTACCTTGGTGACCCCTCTGACGTGCATCTGTAACATCTGCCTTCTGAACACTCCATCCTTTGATCTGAGCGGTGCCTTCTTTTCCTCAGTCAGGTTCATGTCATCCTAGAACAAAAAAATGTCCATTTATTTTAAAATGACAATGACCGTACAGGTATATTGAATCCAATACGACAATCATGGAAATGTTTTATTCTATGTAACTTGTGGCACCCAACCAGGCACTGCAATCTGATGTATTAACAGTGGCGTAGGAAGGGGGTGGGGTTTTCGGACAGCTGCAGTTTTTTTTTTCATGTAAGAGAATGGCAAAAAATTGTCCCGCCCCCGGGTGACCCTAACCCTAGCTACGCCTCTGTTTAATGCAAACGGTAAGTCCCGTGAAAGAGCCCTCAGAACTACTAGTCATTTAGTGACCATGCTATCTGCCCAGGACGGGTACTGGTCATTTAGTGACCATGCTATCTGCCCAGGACGGGTACTGGTCATTTAGTGATCATGCTATCTGCCCAGGACGGGTACTGGTCATTTAGTGATCATGCTATCTGCCCAGGACGGGAACATATTTTTTTTTTTAAAGTATATTACATTTAATTTACTTATGCAAAAATCGGTTTTGTTTTAAATGCTATCTTAATTATAAATGAATTGCCTCGACCTTATATGGAAGTCGTGTCTAGGTCCGAGGTGTCACATCTCATACTAGTGTCTAGGTCCGAGGTGCCACATCTCACACTCTTGTCTAGGTCCGAGGTGCCACATCTCACACTCGTGTCTAGGTCCGAGGTGCCACATCTCACACTCGTGTCTAGGTCCGAGGTGCCACATCTCACACTCTTGTCTAGGTCCGAGGTGCCACATCTCACACTCGTGTCTAGGTCCGAGGTGCCACATCTCACACTCGTGTCTAGGTCCGAGGTGCCACATCCCACACTCGTGTCTAAGTCCGAGGTGCCACATCTCACACTCGTGTCTAGGTCCGAGGTGCTACTTCTCACACTCGTGTCTAGGTCCCATGTGCCTAATCTCACACTCGTGTCTAGCTCCGAGGTGCCACATCCTACACTCGTGTCCAGGTCCGAGATGCCACATCTCACACTCGTGTCTAAGTCCGATGTGCCACATCTCACACTCGTGTCTAGGTCCGAGGTGCCACATCTCACACTCGTGTCCAGGTCCGAGGTGCCATATCTCGCACCCATGACCAGGTCCGTAACACAGACGTTTTAGAACTTCAAGAAGTAAGATAAGACTTAGATCGCTGGCCAGTACGTACAAGGCCCTGATGTCGCTAAAGATTCTACATTACACTACACAAGCTGACAACTAATGGTTTTTTGCGAGCTCGTAGATTGGCCAAAAGTAATTTATTTTAAAGCCATTTTCATTTGTAATTGGTTTCTTCCAGTTTGAATAATAATACTCCTGTTTGCTCATACTTATAAAATGGTAAGTGAACGCTGGAATAAACCATTAAGTGTTGGGAACGACAAATGTTTATCATTAAAATTATGTTGTAAAAGTACATTTATCGGCGTGTTTGTAGTTAGCTTGTCGGAAAGCTTTTTGGTTGGCAACTGAACAAAATGTTGTCAACATGCTCGTGTTATAATATAGATTAATGTTGGATAGTGAATGTTATACATATAGCATAGGAAATAGACCAGGAATAATGAATATTATAAGGGATTAATGTTTTCATTTGGGCGGGGGGGGGGGGGGGGCGAGTAAGGAAGGTGGGCGGGGGTTGATGGAACGTTTTTCCTTGTCATGACGCAATACTGCTTATAATTATGTGTCTGTACGTTTTAAATGTTATAGCGTTATGGGTTAATATAAACTAATTCTTATATATATACATATGTATGAAACACGTGTTGATGACACGCGGGGAAGATATTTGTTTCATTTATTGTCCTTTCCAACGTTTATGTTAAGCATAATTAGGGCATGTGGATCATTTGCTTTGTACAAATGGTTCGGTTGTACATGATACAGCCCCTGGTTCAGTTCACACGAAATGTTCCTTGTGTTTGAAAAATCCGTTGCCCTAGTTGCACAAAGTGGATTAAAAATAGACCACGAATCCAGCTAATAGTTGTCCAACTGATTACCCTATAGGACAATCCCATTTGTCGGCAGGTAGAGAATCCTTCTACAGGAACATTCCACAATGTTGATTTTAATGGCCGGGCAATTGCAACAGGTAGACAAGTGTTTTTAGCTTTGCATGAGCTGAACCAAAATGGCGGTTCAATAAGCACTGATTTCCCCAAATGTTTGTTAGTCAAAACGCTTGATTTCACACGAGTCATTTGGAAAACACCATGACATCGTTTAGTAACCCAGTGGCAGTGTTTCCATGTAGATCTCTAGAGTTCTATATAAGGTCGATTTTTTCATCTAGTTATAAAGAATATGTTTTAATGAAATTTACAAAGTATTCCAGATACATACAATCAGTGGAGGGCGTGGGAGGTATCGGGGGAGGCGAGCGAACAGGGCTGCACTTTTGCACTTTAAATACAGCATTATATAAATGATGTTTGAGTCTCGAACAGGGCTGCACTTTTGCACTTTAAATATAGCATTATATAAATGATGTTTGAGTCTCGAACAGGGCTGCACTTTTGCGCTTTTAATACAGCATTGTATAAATGATGTTTGAGTCTCGAACAGGGCTGCACTTTTGCACTTTAAATACAGCATTGTATAAATGATGTTTGAGTCTCGAACAGGGCTGCACTTTTGCACTTTAAATATAGCAATACAGCATTGTATAAATGATGTTTGAGTCTCGAACAGGGCTGCACTTTTGCACTTTAAATATAGCATTGTATAAATGATGTTTGAGTCTCGAACAGGGCTGCACTTTTGCACTTTAAATATAGCATTATATAAATGATGTTTGAGTCTCGAACAGGGCTGCACTTTTGCACTTTAAATATAGCATTATATAAATGATGTTTGAGTCTCGAACAGGGCTGCACTTTTGCACTTTAAATATAGCATTGTATAAATGATGTTTGAGTCTCGAACAGGGCTGCACTTTTGCACTTTAAATATAGCATTGTATAAATGATGTGTGAGTCACGAACAGGGCTGCACTTTTGTGCTTTAAATACAGCATTGTATAAATGATGTTTGAGTCTTGAACAGGGGTGCACTTTTGCACTTTAAATATAGCATTGTATAAATGATGTGTGAGTCGCGAACAGGGCTGCACTTTTGCACTTTAAATACAGCATTGTATAAATGATGTGTGAGTCACGAACAGGGCTGCACTTTTGCACTTTAAATATAGCATTGTATAAATGATGTGTGCGTCTCGAACAGGGCTGCACTTTTGCGCTTTAAATACAGCATTGTATAAATGATGTTTGAGTCTCGAACAGGGCTGCACTTTTGCACTTTAAATACAGCATTGTATAAATGATGTTTGAGTCTCGAACAGGGCTGCACTTTTGCACTTTAAATATAGCATTATATAAATGATGTTTGAGTCTCGAACAGGGCTGCACTTTTGCACTTCAAATACAGCATTGTATAAATGATGTTTGAGTCTCGAACAGGGCTGCACTTTTGCACTTTAAATATAGCATTGTATAAATGATGTTTGAGTCTCGAACAGGGCTGCACTTTTGCACTTTAAATATAGCATTGTATAAATGATGTTTGAGTCTCGAACAGGGCTGCACTTTTGCACTTTAAATATAGCATTGTATAAATGATGTTTGAGTCTCGAACAGGGCTGCACTTTTGCGCTTTAAATACAGCATTGTATAAATGATGTTTGAGTCTCGAACAGGGCTGCACTTTTGCGCTTTAAATACAGCATTGTATAAATGATGTGTGAGTCACGAACAGGGCTGCACTTTTGCACTTTAAATACAGCATTGTATAAATGATGTGTGAGTCGCGAACAGGGCTGCACTTTTGCACTTTAAATACAGCATTGTATAAATGATGTGTGAGTGACGAACAGGGCTGCACTTTTGCACTTTAAATATAGTATTGTATAAATGATGTGTGAGTCGCGAACAGGGCTGCACTTTTGCACTTTAAATATAGCATTGTATAAATGATGTGTGAGTCACGAACAGGGCTGCACTTTTGCACTTTAAATATAGCATTGTATAAATGATGTGTGAGTCGCGAACAGGGCTGCACTTTTGCACTTTAAATATAGCATTGTATAAATGATGTGTGAGTCTCGAACAGGGCTGCACTTTTGCACTTTAAATATAGCATTGTATAAATGATGTGTGAGTCGCGAACAGGGCTGCACTTTTGCACTTTAAATATAGCATTGTATAAATGATGTTTGAGTCTCGAACAGGGCTGCACTTTTGCGCTTTAAATACAGCATTGTATAAATGATGTTTGAGTCTTGAACAGGGCTGCACTTTTGCACTTTTAATATAGCATTGCATAAATGATGTGCGAGTCGCGAACAGGGCTGCACTTTTGCACTTTAAATACAGCATTGTATAAATGATGTGTGAGTGTTTAAAGGGGGCGCAGATTTGGGAGTTCGCCCAGGGCGGCATTTAGCCAAGTAAATTGACGCCACTTCATACAATCGTATTCTCCCCATGTCTATTAAATACCCCGTTTTCAATGAGCAGCAAGGAATGAGAACATGATCTCCCACCAACATGTATGGTCAGTGTCAAATGACCAACTCATGCAATGCCTGCCATATTTTCACGTAAAACCGTGATCAGTTGTGTTGACTTATCCTAAAATGAAAGAGTAGAGCAAGGTGTGTTGAAGCTTGAATCAACAGACAGGACAATAAGATGTGAACGTTTCAACGTACCTTGTTCTACTATTTCATTGACACAGCTTGAATTCAGACCTTCAGTTTGTAGGCCTTATCCTACCCGTTCTTTGCCCAGTTATCTACCAATTCTTCTTCGACCCAATCGATCGAGTTCACATTGAAATCATCATCTTATCAGCACATATGTGGACGTTTGTTTACATGACAAAGATTCGATGTCTTATAAGAAATCTGATCTGAACCCCCACCCACTTTAGAGAGAGAAAAAAACGTTTTGTTTCCACCCTTTTGCACGCAGGGTGAAATAAAGTTTGACATGAACCTCCACCAATAAACTGACATGACTAATGAGGAACGTTTCCCTACTCTAGCATTGGATCAGAGAAAGAGAACCCATTGTATTTCTTCCATACTGTTGGAATCTATCGTCAATTGTTATTTGATTCATGCCCGCTGTCTGACAGTGTCATACAAGGGGACGGACTCCCGTGGCATGCTGATCCTGAAATCAGAGGGGCGCCACCAATTATACACCCGATCAGTCGGAGGGGTGGGGGGAGGGGGCGTTTGGACGCTCGAGTGGCCGTTGTTGGTTGTAAGTGTTCAACCCCGACACCGCATGGCCTGCCTTTGTACATGACATCACGTAACATTGACAAGTCATTCTTCCGTGACAACACCTGAAGCAAACAACTCTGCTAGCCACCATGTTACCAAGACATTGGTGATAGATCACACAACTCGGCTAGCCACCGTGTTACCAAGACATTGGTGATAGAGCAAACAACTCTGCTAGCCACCATGTTACCAAGACATTGGTGATAGAACAAACAACTCTGCTAGCCACCATGTTACCAAGACATTGGTGATAGAGCAAACAACTCTGCTAGCCACCATGTTACCAAGACATTGGTGATAGAGCAAACAACTCTGCTAGCCACCATGCTACCAAGACATTGGTGATAGAACAAACAACTCGGCTAGCCACCATGCTATCAAGACATTGGTGATAGAAAAAACAACTCTGCTAGCCACCATGCTACCAAGACATTGGTGATAGAGCAAACAACTCTGCTAGCCACCATGTTACCAAGACATTGGTGATAGAGCAAACAACTCTGCTAGCCACCATGCTACCAAGACATTGGTGATAGAACAAACAACTCGGCTAGCCACCATGCTACCAAGACATTGGTGATAGAAAAAACAACTCTGCTAGCCACCATGTTACAAGACATTGGTGATAGAACAAACAACTCGGCTAGCCACCATGTTACCAAGACGTTGGTGATAGAGCAAACAACTCTGCTAGCCACCATGCTACCAAGACATTGGTGATAGAAAAAACAACTCTGCTAGCCACCATGTTACCAAGACATTGGTGATAGAGCAAACAACTCTGCTAGCCACCATGTTACCAAGACATTGGTGATAGAGCAAACAACTCTGCTAGCCACCATGTTACAAGACATTGGTGATAGAACAAACAACTCGGCTAGCCACCATGCTACCAAGACATTGGTGATAGAAAAAACAACTCTGCTAGCCACCATGTTACAAGACATTGGTGATAGAGCAAACAACTCTGCTAGCCACCATGCTACCAAGACATTGGTGATAGAAAAAACAACTCTGCTAGCCACCATGTTACAAGACATTGGTGATAGAGCAAACAACTCTGCTAGCCACCATGTTACCAAGACATTGGTGATAGAACAAACAACTCTGCTAGCCACCATGTTACCAAGACATTGGTGATAGAGCAAACAACTCTGCTAGCCACCATGTTACCAAGACATTGGTGATAGAACAAACAACTCTGCTAGCCACCATGTTACCAAGACATTGGTGATAGAGCAAACAACTCTGCTAGCCACCATGTTACCAAGACATTGGTGATAGAACAAACAACTCTGCTAGCCACCATGTTACAAAGACATTGGTGATAGAGCAAACAACTCTGCTAGCCACCATGTTACCAAGACATTGGTGATAGAGCAAACAACTCTGCTAGCCACCATGTTACCAAGACATTGGTGATAGAACAAACAACTCTGCTAGCCACCATGTTACCAAGACATTGGTGATAGAGCAAACAACTCTGCTAGCCACCATGTTACCAAGACATTGGTGATAGAACAAACAACTCTGCTAGCCACCATGTTACCAAGACATTGGTGATAGAGCAAACAACTCTGCTAGCCACCATGTTACCAAGACATTGGTGATAGAACAAACAACTCTGCTAGCCACCATGTTACCAAGACATTGGTGATAGAGCAAACAACTCTGCTAGCCACCATGTTACCAAGACATTGGTGATAGAACAAACAACTCTGCTAGCCACCATGTTACCAAGACATTGGTGATAGAGCAAACAACTCTGCTAGCCACCATGTTACCAAGACATTGGTGATAGAACAAACAACTCTGCTAGCCACCATGTTACAAGACATTGGTGATAGAACAAACAACTCGGCTAGCCACCATGTTACCAAGACATTGGTGATAGAGCAAACAACTCTGCTAGCCACCATGCTACCAAGACATTGGTGATAGAAAAAACAACTCTGCTAGCCACCATGTTACAAGACATTGGTGATAGAGCAAACAACTCTGCTAGCCACCATGTTACAAGACATTGGTGATAGAACAAACAACTCGGCTAGCCACCATACTACCAAGACATTGGTGATAGAGCAAACAACTCTGCTAGCCACCATGTTACAAGACATTGGTGATAGAGCAAACAAATCTGCTAGCCACCATGTTACAAGACATTGGTGATAGAAAAAACAACTCTGCTAGCCACCATGTTACAAGACATTGGTGATAGAGCAAACAACTCTGCTAGCCACCATGTTACCAACACATTGGTGATAGAGCAAACAACTCGGCTAGCCACCATGTTACCAAGACATTGGTGATGGAACAAACAACTCGGCTAGCCACCATGTTACCAAGACCACGGTGATAGAGCAAACAACTCTACTAGCCACCATGTTACCAAGACATTGGTGATAGAGCAAACAACTCTGCTAGCCACCATGTTACCAAGACATTGGTGATGGAACAAACAACTCGGCTAGCCACCATGTTACCAAGACATTGGTGATAGAGCAAACAACTCGACTAGCCACCATGTTACCAAGACATTGGTGATAGAGCAAACAACTCTCCTAGCCACCATGTTACCAAGACATTGGTGATAGAATTCGTTAATGAAAGACAACGCTATCACCGGTTTAGTGACTATACGCAACTTACATTAACAATTGAGCCAAAATGATCAATAAATTGATCGCGGGCCCTTAATATGTAGAAGAAGAATTGTTAGCATTTTGACTTTTTCATTTCACTTTTTATTTGTTCACACCTTCAATGAAGATATTTATCTATTATTTTTGAGACACAACTGTCAGTTTCGTCATAGATACAGATAGCGTTTGGCTAAATGGAGGCCAACTAATGTTTAAATCCCTAAATATCTATCCAAAAATCATAAAGTTTTCCAAATTTTTTGGGGGGGCTGTGAACGCTGCCCATATTAAATTGTAATGGACAAAAAAAAACAACAAAAGAACTTTTAAATTATTATGAATCCGTGCCATTTCAAAATGTCCACAGTGAAATCTGGCCAGGTCACCGGGAAACACTCTGACTGCTTCCTTTGAATTAAGTGACAAGGACAAAGTATTGAGCCAATATTTATGTGACTGCTCCCACTTTCATTGTAGCCATTTAAATAAATTTTAAATCATGAACATTTCAGGATAAGTCACAGAGATGAAAGTTAGTTAGAAGCATTGCTTGTATAAGTCAATCACTATGTTTAATCAAATTTAATGTTATTACATCTTTAAACCACGGAATATAAACATCTTAATATCAAAGGAAACAATGAAAATTTAATAAACTAAATTAATATCAAATATTGTGGGCAGCAACAGCAGCATTTAGTTAAATTAAATGCAATATTAAATCACACAAATAAAATGAGACATTAAAAAAACAACAACAAAAAAAAAAAAAAAACAAGGAGATACCCCTGACTTTAAATTCTGCCTATACCACTATGCTCATTACTCTTCTGGGTGGCAGTAAGGAGTGGACCAACAACATATGCATCAAGGAAAACTCAATGGCTTCCACCTGATATGTCTGCAGTGCACAGAGCACATTCTATAGCAGCAAAAAGTGTTCAACACGGAGCTACTGGGGCATGCCAACATGTTCTCCACTCTCACCATCAAGTGACTTTGCTAGCCCTGCAATATCAAAAGAATGAATCCAGAGTGCATTTCCAAGGACCAAGCTGTTCAGCAAGCTGGTATAGGGTGGACAACCAAAAGAATGGCAGCCTATGCTCAAAAAGGAATTGTGCAAGAAAAATATGAAGGCTCATGAAGTAGTCCATTCCAGCCATCAAACAGAGAGTTTAAAACAACTGAGGAGGTGCAAAATGCAAACCTCAGACACGATCACTCTGGGAGATGAATACTTAGTGTCACTGCAGCAGACAGTATCACTTTGGGAAATGAATACACAATGTCACTGCGGCAGACACGATCACTATGGGCACTGCATAAATAAAGTCAATCAAGTTTCTTCTGTCTTTGAAAAGCATAATTTTAAAAACTTACAAGCAACTGCTCAAATCGCTTATCCACTTCCTTGTCACCCATGTGCTGGAAGTCCACAGTTTCAGTAAATGGATCCCCTCCATTAAATCCATGGTCATCAGAAGGTGCACTTTTTGATGATGCAGAAGATGTACTTTTACTGGGTTTTTTGCTTTTCTTGTTGAACTTGGGAAAAAATTTGAGTCAACAGGTCAACTCAAAATGTTTGTACAAAGCTTAGTGCATATCAACTGTATATCTATCTAAAGTACTCTCTACAGTTTACTATTAGTCTATAAAAATATTGAAAATACATTTGACTTTGTTGGCTGACTGTTTACTAAAGCACAGGTAACAAACTTATTTTTTTTAGTCAAGCAATAGTTCAAAATACTGTAAGTCATCTTTTATAGGTCAAGCAATGGCTCAACATACTGTAAATGGTCTTTAAATGGTGGAGCAATAGCTCAACATACTGTAAGTCATCTTTAAATTGGTCAAGCAATAGCTCAACATACTGTAATTCATCTTTTAATTGGTCAAGCAATAGCTCAACATACTGTAAGTCATCTTTAAATTGGTCAAGCAATAGCTAAACATACTGTAATTCATCTTTAAATTGGTCAAGCAGTAGCTCAACATACTGTAAGTAATCTTTAAATTGGCCAAGCAATAGCTCAACATACTGTAGTCATCTTTAAAGGGACACAAAGACATTGAGCTGCATTACACATTGATGAGAATCCTTGTGTATGTCCATGTGTCCCATGTAATACTATGGGCTACACTCAGTAAAAATATTCAACACAAAAACATTTAAATGCTTTCATTGGTATGTAAATTGTAATTTGGGTTTAATGACAATTGGATTTAATTTAATCAATTTATCTATTCAAAATTTCCTCAAACATATTATAACATTAAAGTAAAAAATATGCCCATCAAATTAGTAAATGTGGTGATAACCATAACATTGTTGCCAGGACATCACATTTTTCTATTTATTTTTTAAAATAAACTCTAGCTTTGAAAAGAATTAGAAACTAGAATATAAAAAAGAATGAACTGAAAAATTATTCCAATTTGGTTCATAGCAAAATTATATAATAATTACATTAAAATACTCACAAACATGCTGCTTCGAGATTTAGATTTCTCTTGTGCCATTCACGATTGGTTGAATCAATTTAAGTTGAAAATCATTTTCCTTTCAACAAACACTATCCACTTTTAGGTATCCAGGTGAATAAACATCATCAATGAATAAAGTTTCACTCAAATTAGTTCGAAGTTTCCACAGTTTAAAATCTGTATGTAAATCTATTTTCAAACTGAATTTTTTTGTGTGCAAAATACTTGTTTTAACCTTAATTTTTCTAAACTGCTGATTTCTTTGCAAATTATATTTATTGACTCATACAATATTACAATTTTTTTGACATTTTATAACAAATTATTAGGCATAACCTAAGACATTGTAACACATTAAAATTATTTATGCTATGTTGGACCAATATTTTTGTTACAATACTGAGGACCATTTAATATAAAACTTATATGAACTGAGAGTGCAATGTATGGCATATGGTAAATCACTTTAGTAACTTTGCCTTAATACACTAAGAATTTTTTATGTTGAAATTTTTGTATAAATGATAATTATTGATTTTAAGTTTAATTTTTGTATGTATTCGTATTTTATGTGTGCTCAAGTCTGATTGGCGGCGATTGACAACAGAAAAAGCAACCAGCAGGATTTATACTGTTGATAGTATTGATTGACTCAGTGTATTTAATTATTTTATAATAATATTATAAATATAGTAAAACCTACGTTTTGCGACCTTCTCTTAAAAGACTTCCTCCAACATACGACCGGCAAAAAAATCCCTGATGCTTTGTACTATATAAACGACCTCTCTTAAACCACTCACTCTAAAACGCAACTTGAGACCTTCAAATAATTAAATTTTACGACCTAGCACCTGAAAAAGTCGGATTCCAAAGCAATGCTATATTTGTGAGCTTGAAGAAAATAGTTTCGTTTAAAACTTTTAACCTCAGACAATGCACTAAAGCAGCTAGGAAGTTTGAAATACTCCAAGGAGCTGACCAGATTTGCCCTGAACAGGGGCCTTTTGGACCTTGCCGACATAATGTCTGGTGTTCAAAGTGACACACTAAAAGAACATGCACGGGTGGGGGGATCATGCAAACAAACAGCAATAACAGCTTTCTATCAACAAAAAAACTATTTAATGATTAAAATACAAATAATTACAACAATATTAATGCGCTTATCTTATTAATAAATAGTTTATAACTCTAAGCATGTACTCAGCACTTACCCACGCTTTTAAACAACTACAATAGGAGCATTGATTTTTATTTTGGAATTAATGAGGAATAGGAAGTAGTGACTGTATTGGTTTTGAGACAGAGTTTAATCTATATTTCTGAACGAAAGATGGTAGATATTGACTATTCTTAATGGTGTGTTTATTTTTTTTTTACTTGTTTACTTAATTTTCTAAACGACGTTTTTTGAAAATGTCCTACCTCTTTTTTAAGACCCCTCCAATTTACGACCTCGTTTTAATGGCAATTTAAAGGTCCTTTAAAAGAGGTTTTCCTGTATTAGTAATTAGGCCATTATAGTCTATATTTTATATTACATACACATAGCCTATATACTATATAGGCATAGGAGCATAAATGATCAATAAATTGATAGTTTACTATTACAGGTTAATACTATAACTATAATAAGCTATGCCTTAAGCTTATATTATTTATATTTATAATAAATATATATATTTTAGTTATAGTTTCAATTGCAATAAGTAATAAGCCCTTTACAGACTTTACTTTATTACTGACTTTGCTTTTTAATCTATTTTACTACTGTCAATGCAACCAACATAACATACTTTAAATACTCTAAATTACTATTTAATTAATTAATAATAAATTAAATTGGCTAAATTAATATTTAAAAACTTAATTCAGTTAAAGTAACAACCTTTTATTAATTATTATCAATTAGGGTGCTGTGTAGTGTAGACCTATACTGACTCAGTTACCTACACTGTAGTCCTAGTCCTAGTCAGAAGATTAATATTTTTTAATAATAATAATAATTAGGCCCTATATTAATTATTAATAATAATTTATAGACTCCTTTACAAAATTAAAATGCAGTTAGTTAGAAGTTAGGCCCCATAATAATATGTTTTACTTAAATGCATACGATACTTTATCATCTAATGACATAAACTCAGTCAAACTGAATACTGAATAAATTTACTTCAGTCACTTCATTGATCACACAGTGTGTCACACACTTCATACACTACAGTACAGTGTACAGTCACAGTGAGTGACACTGACTGAAACTAAGAGAGATAATAACTGACTAGAATATGATTTTGAAATGACGGCTATACTTAGACTATGAACAATCCAGATCCTCGATATGATTATATTAACGAACCACAATAAATTACAGCTACTATAAAAATAATTACTTTAATTTATGTTAGCCTTTTACGTTAAGGTCACAATTATAGAAAATATTGGATAAGGTGCACTTTACTTCCCATTTAGTCATCAACATCCGCCATTTCACGGCAGCTGTCAGAGGTCAACCAACAGCCAATGAAAAAATACGCCAAACTTACTACTGACTCTACTGGGCTACTGGGTAGCTGTTATTGACCAAGACCAAGAAGTGTTTAAAATATATAAATATATATATTAATAATATATATTGCCGTTCGTCAATGGGAATTGTGATACACTGCACTTGGAAAGCTAAATTTGAAATACCAGTATTTTTAAAAAAAATATATATAGGCCTATTATATGCTACTTTTAATTTTAAAACTGATAAAGTCACTCATAAACTGGACTGGTTCAATGTAATGTATGCTACTATAATATGTATTGTAGGCTGTAGCATGGGCGCCCGCAGAAAACGTTCTGGGGGGGGGGGGCAAAAAAATCGTAATTGAAAGACCCCCCCCGGGCAAAAAATTGTTAGTAATGTTTTAATGTAGTTTTAATATACTGTAGCGTATTTGTAAGGTGAACGAACGGACAGGACATCAGCTTAGTTACTTTCTCTTTATTTTCTCTTTACTTTAATAATTTTTTTGTCTATTTTTGTATTAAAAAAATTATCCAATCAATCCAGGGGGGGGGCAAGTGCCCCTTGCCCCCCCTGCGGGCGCCCATGGGCTGTATGCATTGTAGACCTGCTCACTCATTTGAATGGTTTTCCAATTTAGTTAAATTAAAAGGGTAGTTCGGGTGGGAAAAGCGGCCTTGGAGCAAAGTCCGAAAATTACGCTCCTGAACACATCTCCCAAAAAAGTGTCCCCTGGGGCAGACCGGTAAAAAACGATATTGGGCCCCGTTATCTTTGTGAATTATATGGGATTTTATCGTGCATTTATGAGCTCTTATCTACAGAGGTTTTTGGCGACCACTGATGTTGGGGCCTGGGGCAAGTGCCCTCTTCACACGGCCCTGGTACAAAATTACACACACACAAACGATCAACAGAGTTACGTAAATGTGCAGCCGGTGCTTGTAATTGGGATTACATCCTTGCCCAAAATTCTAAAAAGTATATTATCTCACTATCTTTATTGCCATGTATAATAAACGTGCAAATAATTTTCAAAAAAGCAGTAAATCAGTGTGGTAGAAGTTGGATATTAATTGATTACAAGATTTGACTGAGACAACAATCGCAAACGTGCTTGAGACCACTGAGAGGGTAAAAATCAAGTGCCGGATGCTGTATAATTTTTTTTAACTGGAAGAAGAACTAAAGAAAAATTGTTATTTTTTATATGTCTAGACACGGTCAGTAAAGCATTTTGTGAAATTGGAAATCACATTAAGGACTTGACAAACCGAGAAGGAAAAGACACCTTTTTTTTCAGAGACTTTCTCTCACTCAACAGCCGCTCTCCAACCCCCCCCCCCTCAATATTTTATTCAGGGAAACAAATTTAGAGTTAAATAATAATGAAAAAGGCAACTCTGGTTACATCCTTTGAGACCCTAGATAGCTAATTTTTCCTTTTAACTCTTCAACTTAACTTTCAATGTGATATTTTAATTTTAGCTTGTAATATCTTAGAATAGAACCGTCCATTAATAATGTCAACATTTTTTAGACAATTTTTTACCCCATCCTTTGTCAAAAACGTTCAAATCTTGTAAGGGCCCTCCCCAACCCCACCCAATTAATTATGTCAATGCAACAACTATAGCCCACCACTTTTACATAACATAAGTGAATAAATAAGGATCTTTTTTTTAATGATAAATTTAATCTTATTATATTTGTTTGACTTTTTAATTTTTTAAATTTTAATTTGGAACAACTAGCATTTATGACAATAGTACATTTTATATAGCAGAATTCATTAGGCCAACAAAATTATTGCTAGTAAGTTTAATGCTATTTATTTGATCTTCAGGTTGATAAACCAAATGTTCCTAGTTTGCAATAATAGAAACTGATTAATTTACCATCGGGATCGTTCGCAAATTACGTCACGCCAAAATGACATTTTTAGACCCCTCCTCCTCCCTGTCACAAATTCTTTACCCCCCCCCCCAAGTGTCACGCCATAACTAAAAAAATTCAAAACACACATAATTATTTTATCTTCAGGTTGATAAACCCAATGTTCCTAGTTTGCAATAAAAGAAACTGATTAATTTACCATCGGGATCGTTCGCAAATTACGTCACGCCAAAATGACATTTTTAGACCCCCCCCCCTCCCTGTCACAAATTCTTTACCCCCCCCCCCCCAAGTGTCACGCCATAACTAAAAAAATTCAAAACACACATAAAATTTTCATAACAAAACTAAGATTTTATTTTATCCTTTTACATTTTCCCATAAAGGATTAAGATGTAGTATTGTTAGAAAACTGTGACGTAAAACAACGAAGTCCTTTCCAAGCCGAATGTAAAATGGCCCAACAGTTTTTGCATCATTTTTTGATTTGTGCAGAAGGTGTGAGCGACTTTCACGATACCTATTATACTTGAGGCAATTTCGATCGCAAATTAATGTTTTAAAATTAATTGAATAAAGATTTTTCAAAATTAGAAAATTTTAGATTTTTGTTCAAGTATGACGTCACAAATTTTTACCCCCCCCCTTCCCCAAAGTGTCACAAATTATCGACCCCCCCCCCTCCCCCCGAGCGTGACGCATTTTGCGAACAACGACCCCATATTAATATTATTATGGATCCGAGGGACATAATCCTTGTCCAGTCAGCGCATAAAATCTATATCTATAATTGGCTAGAAAAGGTCAAAGACCAACACGGTTCAAACACCACGCAGGCTATTCATTTGATCTTCCAAAGACCTTCAAAATAAACTAAATTTATCAAAAGCCTTGATCGGGTCTACATAGGTGAAAAAGAGGTCAAAATTCTGTTCCAGGCATTTTTTCCTGTAGCTGCCTGTTGTAAACACCATATCAATAGTTCCGTGTTCTTTACGGAAATCGCATCGACTGTATGAGTGACCCTTCTCAAGATGCTCATTACAATGGTTTATCAGGATTCTAGCAAATATCTTGCTTGCAATCGAGAGCAAAGATATGCAGTGGTAGCTGTGGAAAGATTGACAGTTACTTTACGCCTGTTCAATGGAGAAACAGATGTGTCCTTGAAATACTGTGGAATCGTCTCTTCCTGCCACATAAATAGGTACAGTTGGTGAAGCAAAAGATACACTAGCCCTTTGCATATAAACTGCTTTCTGCACATTGGATGATGATAAACTTTAACAACAATGTTCAACATTCAACTGTCTTTTGCTACTTTTTTTAATCAGAAGTTTCAGCAGTGTGATAAAACAACTTTTTCAGCTGAGTGCGCATCATTTTTGAAAGTCTGCCATGAGGCGTCATTCATTAAGGATTCCATTACATGTTGAAACAGAAGCTTTTTCAGGCCTTTATTCAGAAGGCTGAGTTGATCTATTTTAAAAATCTGGCATGTTTTCAATGTTCTGAATTTCTATAGCAAAATTATGAAACGTGTCCTTGCATAACTCTTTATGCTACCTGCAGACAGGATTTGTTGAAACATGGATGCTCTCTAACTCTCTATCAAATTTTATTTTTAAATTTTTAAATTCGCCTTAACAATTTTTGTTACTAATAACTTGGATACATAATAATTGAAATAATTAAAAATATTTAGATAGTACCTTTTATGACTTGCTACCTTGATGAAGCACATATATAAATGAATATCAAAATCAATTAGATCCTAACGCTTTTGTACAAAAGAATGTTGTTCAAACAGAATTTTGTTTGAATGGAAATAATGGAGAAAAAAAAAGGAATTATTTTTTAAAAGACTAAATTTTCCCCATTTCTCACTCGCACTTTATCTTTTCACATTTTAAAAAAACAAACTTAATTGAACAAATTTCATTTTGAAAAAAAAAATAACTTGAGTTTGATGCAACTGTTATTTGAACAATACACCTTCGTACAAATCCAAATTGGTTTCAAACAATTTGGATTTGTAATAAGTTCTGGTAACCTTTTCAAATCTCAGCACTCAAATATTTAATCACTACTTGATTTTATATTTTAATTTAGCCAATGATGACCAACTCATTTATTTTTTAAATCTTTTAATCTTAGGCAAAATTTCCTGGGCCAATTACGTGCATTCAGCTTATTTTTTATAAACATAATAATAATTGCATTAGACTTATTTTGGAAAAATTAGTCCAGATCTGCTGATCTTTAATACATGTAAGATCCAACAAATTTATTATAACAAAGCTCAAAATGTATTCATACTACAATTGGAAATTAAATTTTAGGTCAACACTTTGTTAAATTTAAATACATTGTCATTTAGTAATTTAAATAGATAGGCCTACTAGAAAATATAAAGACTTTGTTGGGCTCATTATATTTTATATCCAAGTTGATATAATGATCATCACTAATATACAAATGCAAGTGGCTAGTAAACAGGCACATATCTGTAGAAATCCCTTTGGGTACCATCACAGTGAAAGAAAACAAACGACATTCAATTAAAGGTCAAGCGACATTTTGCTGAATTGAAAGTAAAAGGGAAACAGGTAGAAAAAATCCCAATTGATAAGTAAAGGAAGTTCATATTTGCTCCCAGCAGATTCGTATGTATATCAGCAAAATGTTTAATGGCCATATAAATGTCTTGAAATGTTAACGAATTTGGTTCTATCAAGTTCACGTAGCAATATTCATTTCACTATAAAAGAAACACATTTGTAAATATCATAACAGAGTAAGTTGAGGCACCACATTTGTAAATATCATAACAGAGTAACTTGAGGCACCACATTTGTAAATATCATAACAGAGTAATTTAAGGCACCACATTTGTAAATATCATAACAGAGTAATTTAAGGCACCAATGAAGCCCACCATTGCTTCAAACAGCAAGTTATAAAAAATGTCACGTGGAAAGTGTTGGCAAGCTACGACTCTTCTCAATATATTTAATAGAAAACAAATACAAGGCTGGAATAGTGATGCAAAGTAAAATTGAGAATTATGTAAAAAATCTCCACGATAGGCTTGAACTTGAACTCCCTTATAACAGTAGAAATGAATCACCCAATTACTACA